TTTTTTTTTTTTTTTTTTTTTTTAATATAGCGATATGTATGAAAATTGCAGGTATTGCCGGCATATGTTCAAAAACAGCTGTGGCACCATTGGACAGGATAAAAATTCTATTGCAAGCACAGCATAAGCATTATAAACATTTAGGTGAGAATTTTAAGACTTTTCTCTAGCGAAAGATATAGTAAAATATTATCAAATTTAGCATCATACATATTTGTCATTTGTGCAGGCGTTTTCTCAGGGTTAAAGCAGATTGTACAAAACGAAGGGTTCTATGCTCTGTATAAAGGCAATTTTGTACAAATGGTTAGAGTCGTTCCTTACGCGGCAGGACAATTTACAGCGTATGAAATATATAAAAAGGTAAAAAGGAAAAAAGAAACAAAGTTTTTCTTATAGGAAATCTCTTAAATAAATTAATCAAACGAATATTTTGTACCTTCTGTGCTATGTAATTTCTGTCAGATAAAAAAAGTAGATAGATAACAAAATTAAGTAAGATGGAAATATGCAATTTAATATGTCTGGCAATTTATACACATATAATTTACATAGATATATTCAAGTATAAAAAAATCAAATTAGTAATCAAGTAATTAAAGTAGTTAAAATGTAAAGTGGCTATAAAAAGACAAGAAAATATCAATTGCAGAGTGCAGTCTGTAGAGAGCAGTTTGTAGAGTGAGATTAAAATAAAATTGAAGCACCTATTTCATTTTAAGTGTTCGTTGAATAAACCAAATTTTTATTGAGTTTGTTGAATAACCCAAATTTGTATTAAAATACTAAAAATGACATATTCGGAAAAAGAATAATAAAACAATCATATGTATTAATTATTAGTATAATTGTTACGTATCTTGATATTAATGTTCACGTAATTCTTTTCAGTATTTAGGAGGGTCGTTCGGGCAATATTCGCACATTGATCGATTCTTGGCTGGAGCTGCTGGAGGTGTCACAGCAGCTACAATCACATATCCGCTCGACATGATTAGAGCGAGGCTAGCCTTTTTAAGCAACGGCGACACATTTTACACTGGAATATCCGATGTTGCTACAAAGATTTTCCGACAGGTAAAATGCAAATTGATTGCAAGGAAAGGTTAGGTTCTTCCTAAGATAATGTTAAATTTACATGGATCTTGCGACACACACATACACCCATCACTGATTGTGATAGTGTCCATGTAAAAAAAAGAAAAAAAAACTCATTACGAATTCCCGAGTAATCTATTCGGTTTTTCATATCGCATTAACATACATGACGCTATCAAATGTTTTAGGAAGGCGGTTTTCGTGCATTATACAGAGGATATTTACCGAATGTGATAGCGATAATACCGTATGCTGGATTATCCTTTTACACGTACGAGAAGCTGAAATATCTATGCATGAAACGTGCGTCGGATTACTTTTGTTCTAAGCAGGATAGCGGTGAGTGCTTCACTTTCTGAATCCAACATAAAACAAATATTTCGTGTCAAAAGCAATTAAAAATAGAATACTGAAGCTTAAAGAATTCATGGTGCGCAATTACAACGGAGGATCGATAGATCAAGGATTGTTTACGAAAAACAGAAATAACGGATAAATAACAGAAATAATGATAGTAATATAATAATATATCTTGTCGTAGGCGGTCTCGTGTTGAATGTATTCGCGAAGCTTCTATGCGGAGGTGTTGCCGGTGCCGTAGCGCATACCGTCTCTTATCCATTAGACGTCACTAAGAGGCGCATGCAATTAGCTATGATGCATCCAACTACGTATAAATATGGGTAAGTAATATATAACACACCAATAGAATAAAATAACAATAATGCTAAACTATTAATGTATTTAATATGTCTTGCTGTCTCCTTTTTTTTACGATGTAGTCAATTTGTTCATGATGTCAATACTTCTTTCATCTGAATCTTATTAATCCACATAATTGCGTTATTCTTTTAGATCGGGAATGTTGTCCACTATACGCATGATATATCTTGAAGACGGTGTTGTAAGAGGTTTATATCGTGGGATGACCGTCAATTTCTTACGATCTGTTCCATTCGTGGCGGTCGGTTTTACGTCATATGAGATAATGAAGCAGATGCTGGATTTAGACACGGGAATAAAAGTGTAATTTAGATAAAACAGACATAATTGTCCATTGTAAATAAATCGAATAAATTTACATACATGCGTATATATCGGTTACACATGAATGTCAAATTTATTTGCACTAAGATTTATAGTTTTTATGCTTCTAATTTTTTTATAGCACAACGGATATATTATACTATACTATATTAAAATTGTATATTATGTTATTTCCATGAAGATATACAATTATTTGTGAAAAGAAAATGAAGAAAAAATTACGCACTTATACAGTAAAAATAAATATTCTATTTATTTTTTTGTATTGTTAAGGTTTTTTTAAAAAACGTTAATAAGAGTTTTTAGACGAGTAAAAACAATTAAAGAATATTTTTCAACGGAATATTTCACATTTAATTTTTTTTTTTTGATAAAACGACTCCTTCTAGTTATGCTATATCCAATTCAACTTTTCGATCAATATATTTATATTAAAATTTATCAATCGTATTTAGCATCAACAAATTGTAACATTCTGTGATAAGTTCCGTTAAAATAATTAAATATATTAACAAGCTCAATTGTTAGCACTTTGTATAGATTTAGATTTCAATGTATTAAGAGTACGACAATATCCATGTGAAATGTACAAATAATGTCGAACAAATCGGCGAGACTAAATTAGTGGTTATTTTTATACATAATGTATATATTGCTATAAAGACAGATGAAACTTTAAGCAAGAAACAAGATACTAAATAAAAAATATTTTCCTAGATACGCTAAAATGCTTATTTATATGCACAACTAAGAAGTATACTGATAAAGTTTTATCTTTACACATATTATCTTGATCACGTGTAATGTAGACACTCACAGATAAAAGTAAAACAACATAGATGGGTACAATATATATCAGATTCGTAAAAAAAAGATGAAAATAATTAAAAATAATTACACAGGAAACGAATCTTATGCACGAGACACGTGTATCCTTGTGAAATACTGTGAACGTGTAAAATACAAACAAAACTCCATCTAAATGTGATAATATCTCTTTATTTTTCTAATTTCTTATAATGAGATGACATTATAATCATACGTTCATGGCATTTTTTCAGTAGTTTCTCGTCACAAATGTGGACTTGTCCGAAGCCAGACTTTGCAAGCTAAAGTGTAAAATATTTTAAATGAAGCTCATGTTACATAAAGTCACGAGGAGTAAATCGCGTGCTAGGACAGCCCAATTCTATATTTACCATGTACAATCGGTTTTAACATTACGTCGGATAATATTAAAAAATTATAAAAGCTATCACGAAAAATGTTCCACTTTATCGAGATATATAAAATTTGCTCCGCGCGTATTTTAATATCCGAATTAATCGTATATCAATCATCCTACGTTGTGTTAAGTATGAAATGAAAAACTTTTCCGTGTCCTCTCGAACAGTTAAGATTATTATCATCGTCGTATTTATATATGCGTATCAATTAATTATTTACTTTAGTACAATAAGAGTACTTACGAAATTTAGATCAACGAAAAGTACTCCAAGATTGCAAACGAGAATCTAAGTATACAATAGCTCTGTCCCCGTGTTTGCCACTGCGAAATCGAAACACGATATTATCCGTGCCGGATACTATCTATGCGCGTTTTCAACAACGGATTTAGCGGAGCGTTCCGTATCAATTTTGTTCATAGTATGGGAGTCGGTGCGCAGTGAGAGGGGTAATAAATAGAGCAGATACAAAATTAGCTATTACGGTAGCCGGTACCTATTATTCCTTCGCTGTACCTCTAATTAACTCCGCCTTCGTTCCCGTCGCATTATAATACTACAAATGGTGGTATTCTCGTTCTATAGGAAAATTTATTCTTATTGTTTGTAGTCCAAAGAATGTGTGTGTATTTTATATATAATGTGTGTGTGTGTATGCATACTCGTATATATACGTATATACGCGTATCGCAATAATAGAAAACGAAAAGGAGTAAAATAAAAAAAAATGCTCGACCTGCATTGTGCACAAGAAAGAAAGTGTTCGCGCGTCGCGTCTCCACACGCTGCTCTTCCTGTGCTATGTATGGATTTACAGTCTTAGTAAAATTGCTATAATGTGCATCTACACACTCCACGTTCGCCTTGTCGTCCTGTCACCCTACAGCAATCGTTTCAATTATGTGTTATATACTCGAATTGCAATGCTTAACATTATTCCTATAAAATACATCCGCGTGCATTTCTTTCCTTTTTTCCTCTCTCTCTTTCTCTCTCTCTCTCTCTCTCTACCTCTCTTAGCTGCTCACATTGTACACAATGCTCCTGCATTTAACGAATATGAAATTTGACACAACACATTGGGTTGCTTTGGCTTGCATTACACATGTTTATTTACCAGAAGCATTATTTTATATACCTATTAATTAGTAAAAAGGTCATCGGTAGGTTTACAAGCAATCGATAACTTCTTTTTTTCGTTCTTTTCAATTTAACCAACGTGAATGCATAGATTCATTCTGTATAAAGTACATACGTACGTGTGTGTATATGTGTGTGTGTGTGTCTCACTTTAGAAGGCAGATAGAATTGATGCAAAAGTGTGTTATGTTTCCTGAATTACCCGGCATTGATCGATGCGATACACAAATTAACTCTAAAATGCAGTTTGTAAATGAAAAAATTCTATATATATATATATATATATATATACGTGTGTGTATGTGTATGTTTGTATGTATATGAAGATGTTGCTGATAAAATGTCAAAAAGAGAAACAATACGATACACGATAAAACGAATTCTTTTGCGGATGACGTTAAACTACGATCAATTTATCTAAATGAAACAGAAACGTTTAAAGCGCGGATGTAAATATCATTCTCATCGGTTTCCTTTTTATTATACAAATATGTATTATTTCGCAAAAATAATATTATGAGTAATAGAAAGCGACGTCAACGAGAACATTTACATTCGCATTTTGCAGGTCGCATCTACGTCATTTAGATAAAAATGTCTACGTGCCTCTCACCCGGAAGCGAATAGTACTGCGAATTTTAGCGAAGCTATTGCTCATCATGATTCTGATGAATCCGTATGTGGAATGCCACGTTAAATACTCTCTTTAACAAATCCGCTCGAAAATTACATATTTATCGTAAATTCTCCCGTATGGCACAATTTAACGTATGCCAATGTAACTGTTGCATCAACTCACCTTTGTATTTCCTTCAAGTGGAACATATCATGCCCCATTCACACCGCCAATAACGTGACAATCTCTTAAATATAAATTACGACTGTCTTAGTATATTTTTTTCTTTTTTTGGAATCTTGCATGACAGTTAATCGCGTTTAGAATACACGCATTCGCTTAGAACACGTTATTTGCTGTTTCACTTTTATATAAATTCATCTCCCACCAAGTTTTAATAGTTTCATTCAAGATTACAAAACAATACGATGAATATTTTTCCGTTCTACCTATATGTATATATATATATATATATATATACACATATATATATGTATATATACATACAACATACATATATATATATATATACATACATACATACATACATACATATATATATACATACATATACATATATTTACGCGCAAATGTGTGTATTATATATATATATATATATATATATATATATATATATATATATTCAGTTTTTTTTATAATAAAAATACAAGCGGATATAATGAAAATTGTAAAACTCAATGCTACAGGTGAATTTAATCGGTACGTGTGTACATTATTGTATTCTTCCTCTTATTTCTCCTTTTTTTTAGTGTACAAGTAATGTTGTGTCTACATGTATCGTGTAAGGCACGCACGAAACGTGCGTGTGTATCTATTCTATCTTTCAATGAGACACCACAAAGTGAGCCATGATATAATACTTGGGACTATATGTGGTGTGCAAAGATCTTGTGTGATCTTTACACTCATTAGCGATGTTCTATCATAAGTTATGTTTTCTGGCGTCACTATAATGTCAGGATTGTTTCCATTCCCCTACCTTGAGACCTAGCCCTGAAGCTTAAACCCCTTAGAGGAAGTAGTCTGGCGTTCGCCTGGTAACATGTGGTTCTCCACGTCTTGGTGCTGGATCAAATTGTAGGCTGTAATAAAACCGAGATAATTAATAATTATATTCTCTTTTATCAGTAGAAAAATGTATTACATTTTGGAATATTTAATTATAATATTTTATATTCTTTATATTTTCTTCCCACGATAAAAAATAGCGTTTGGAAATATTAAGCATGAGAAAGTAACTCGCATTTTATACTTATGAAGTTGATAGAAATATTTAATTATCTATACTTACAATGAATATTTTAAAGCATCATCCAATTCCATAATCGCAGCTTGATTTCCGCAACGATAACAGTAATTAGGTGCAGAAAATATAGTCACAACATTGCGGTCATGACACCTGTAATGAGATAACAATGTAAGTAATATATGTTACTAATGCTATGATGATTCAATTTATGTACTGTGAAGGCATGCAGATTATGCTGGATAAGCTGTGTATACAGAAATGAAGAACATAGCTAACTGTATTAATCAATACAAAATATTGATGCTCTTACCAATTATAACCCTCCATAACCAACTGGTGGGCTCGTGATACAAGCGTTAACCCGTTGGAGTGGTTAAACGTTTCGGAAATATCTTGACCGAATGTATATCCTGCACCACGGGGTGAAATACCCCACCCTCCTCTGTCGTCTGGATCTGACCAAAGTAGATCGCACATGGGACCCTATATCAAATTAAAATAAACAATAGAGATGATAATCCCATTGCAACAATCATCGATCCAACCAACGATCACGGTGAATACTAACTTCGTGTGGCACTTCTTGAAGGCGATCTAGAGCACGTATGTGATCTAAAGTGTCAATGGACGGTGACAGACCACCATGCAAACAAAATATTTGACCATCGACCAATGCTGTCAGTGGTAGGTAATCGAACAAGTCCGTAAAGAATTTCCACACATTGGCGTTGCCGTATTTACGTAAACACTCGTCGTAAAATCCGTACACCTGTGTGATTTGCCTGGATTCATGGTTGCCTCGCAGGATGGTTATTCTCTCTCGATATCTCACCTTTATGTGTGCAAAGTGAAAGAAAAAACGAATTTAGCATAGGTATATATATATATATATATATATATAATATATATAATATATATATATATATATATATATATATATATATATTGCAGTAAAGCAGCAGACATGCACACACACTATACAATAAAATAGAATATACGTCAATCTGTACATATGCATACGATACTAATTATAATCAACAATACAAATGTGAGTACACTGCTGGCTAAAAGTTTGGAATCACCTACTGATTTGTTATAAAAGCAAATCTTTTGATGTTTTGTTGTGATCTGGTAAAGGTATGTTAATAATCTAATCTAATTAGCATATCTTAAGATATGCCAATATCTTTGTTGCAGTCTTTATCACTTAAACTATGAGCTATAACTTTAAAAGAATACAAACATTAAAACAGCTCTTGGAAATTGTATCTTTGATAAAATTTCTCTCTGTTGCTCAATTGACATAGTGATTCCAAACCTTTGGCCAGTAGTGTTATTGGAAATTGTATGTTGCACTATACCTTAAGAGCTACAAGCAGAGTGACAGTTTCGACCGAATAATAGCCACGGTCTACATAATCACCCATAAAAAGATAGTTTGTATCGGGTGATTTGCCACCTATTCTAAACAGTTCCATCAAATCGTGGAACTGCCCATGAACATCTCCACATACTGTCACAGGACATTTTACTTCTTGTACATTTGATTCCTTAGCTAAGATTTCTTTCGCCTGAAAATTTCAAATATTATGAGATAACCTCGATAATAATAAGTACAGCCTCTGTTATTGTAAATATTGTAAACAAAAAACGAGCAGAATAATTAATTCAAGAGAATGCTGTGTTTTCATCTTTCCCTGTTCCAGCGTTTTGCGATATACGAATTTTCACGGTCACGTGAAACGAGCGCGTCAAATAAACACAAGGACAACAATCGAACGGAGTCAGCGGAATCACTTCGAATTAGAAATAACGCTGCGCTGCAATTTGAGAATATCACGTGAAACTAATGGCGCGACATTCTTCCCGGGGGGCAAATGAGTTGCCAATTACAGATACAATTACCGATACATATTTAGAAAAGCAAGCACTTTGGCCAATTGGCATGATAACACCGACGAAACACGAGCAATTAATCGTTGTAAAGCGCATTTCGGCTGTAATACTTCAAGAGTCTAAGTATAGTTCATTCAAAAATACTCGCGTTTGCACTTCTGAATCTCATTTAACTGTACTGTTTACAAGTGAAATTCAAAGGTTGAACCTTAGGTTAATCGGGCTGAATGTTCTTGAAGTGATCTTTCGCACGAGGAATCATTAATTACGTTAACTATTAAAATCCAACATTGAGACATCAGCATTCTCCATTGTTTGTTGTTGAGATACACGCTGCAATCTTAGCTAACATCATGCTCAATTTGATCGTTTCTCCTCTGCGTTGGTTCAATTAGCACGATGACAAAGTGTCGCGAGAAAGCTCCATGATTCATAGACGAGATTAACGTTTTGTCATCAGCTATCTCGTATCACAGACGGAGATACGAATTATCAGGGGGACAGAGTGATTGACAGGTGCCAACGCTGATATTGCAATATACACAAGTTACTGTTATCTCGTGACACGACGTCACGCGCGGTGCACGTACCGTCCTGACACGGAAAACGTTCGCAAACGTGACGTTTACCTGAAACGCGCGAGGGGGATCCACTTTCGTACTAATACCGATTAATTGCAACATCGGCAGCGCGACGACATGCACCTGTTGCAGATGCGGATCTGCGCGTTTAAAAGCGATAAAAACCAAAATAGAATCAATGAGCGAGGGATTTCGTCGTCGTCGTTGCCGCACCCGTCTTGCAGAAGGTGGCTACCAACGACGAGGACGTCGGGAATCGCGCGCGAGCGAGATCGAACGGCGATCGAACGGGAGGAAGCTCGCGGGAAGGGGAGGGGGCGTGGGTCACCGATCTCCGCGGGTCATCCCTACTAGGATGACGCGTATGCGACACGGGGAACAAATGCGTTCGATGGCCCGACGCGAGGCATCACCGTGGGTCGAATTCGCAGGTATATATATACACACACATACAGATATATACCTATGTACACATACACACGACGATATACCTGCCGTCGAGGCAGCACGCGATAGTCGAAAATGCGAATAATTAACGCGAGGCCGCGACGTGCCGACCCGACGTCGGGGACGCGCTTTCGATCGCCGGGGTCGCGTGGGTGGGAGATGAATTCCGCCTTGGGTCGGATACCTTATCGCAGAGAGTTTTCACTTGGCTTTCTGTCAGTTGTTTGCAGTCGTTTAATTGTTCTATCCACTGGTCGAGCTCTTTGAGCGACGCCTTCTCCTCCATCGTACCGCGACGGCCGCCTGCACGGACAATTCACGCGTGTGTGCAATACCGTACGCTCCTTAGCACATGTAATCCGACGCCGAACGTACCCCTCTACCTTCGCGAAACTAAATCATTCGGGTTTTTCGCCGCTGGCCGAGAGCCCCGCAACACAAATACCCCGTAAGAGCGAGCGCTCATTCAACAAAATGGCCGAACGCCGAGCGCTGGCGCGATGACGTCACGCCGTATTCATGCGTGAGATGCCCACCCGATCCGCCGTGCGCTCGTAGGCGCCATCGCTCTTTGCAATTCAGCAACGACGGATGGGGATTTGGGTATTTTTACTGCATCTTCTCCGCCAGCCCAGATTTCAAACGCATCGAAAGACCGATGAATGCGCTGCAGTACTGTTTCCAGATCAGTCACGCAAATTCGATTGGGTAGATGATTGCCGACTTCATTGGAAATCGGTCTTGATCTTCACGCTGGAAATACTAGTAATTGCACTTTTGTACACTTTTCTACAGTATCTTTAAGACCGGTTCACATCAACATTGCTGATACATATGTTTCTTGCAGTTTTATTAACAAATGTTACATTAGGTCTGTTCTTTTGCTCTGCATACTGCACTGGTGCAATAAGTTAGAGTGAGACAAATATATATTTGTTTCGGGTGGGACCCGATTGACCACGATACGATTGGACATAGATTGTAATGATTGGTTCGACCTAGTAATTCACTAGATAATTGTTTTCATCGGTTGGTTGTGTCCAATCGTGCCGTGGTCAATCGGGACGCTCCCATTTGTTTCACTCTAACTTATTGCACCAGTGCAGCAGTGCAGAGCGAAAGAACAAACCAATTGTCTCATTCAAAATTGCTGAAAATAAATGTTTTCAACAAGATATGAAACAAATTAATCACACTTTAACTTTTACCTGGAGAATATAATTTTGTTAAAAACATTTTTTTTTATTGGCTTTTTGCTATTGTTACCAATGACGTATATACATAGACCAAGCATTCCTATATTTCTGCTGTAGCAGCGAGTGAAACCGGAAGTTGGCAGTTTAAAACAGAGTGAGAAAGTTGATTTGTCCTTAGTGCTTTCTCATTCTATCGTATAGAAAGAATATGGCCGCTGTCAAGCTGTCAAGTGTATATATAATGCAGTGCAGAATTAAAAGAATAAAACCGTATATTTCACTTATCTTATAAAATTATATAAAATTGATATTTATAATATTTTATGCTGTGTATAAATAATCACAGCAATTACTTTTATACTATTTTCATTCTACTGTCACATGAAAAAGGTTAGGTTGCTATGACGGGATACAGTTCTTGGATAAGGTTTAGTTCTGTAAATAGTTATATTTAGTGCTGTAAATGTTTCAGAGCGACGTATGGATCAAGCACATTGCTTTATTTAACGTTTTAAAGTATTTGCAGTGTTAAACGAACTCTCCTTCTTGACAGTCAATAATATAATATAGAGTGAGAAAGCACTAGGGGCAAATCAATTTTTTCACTCTGTTTTAAACTGCCAACTTCCGGCTTCACTTTACGGACAGAATGCTTGGTCACAGGTTGCATTCCGAAATGCACTGTCAGTACTGAAAATCTATAGTTCATGTTACGTATATTATACCCGCGAGGGTCGCGGGGGGGGGGCGGTCCCCCTCGGAGGGCCCGCGGGAGATGGCCCCGCTCTGACCATCAAGACCGGGGTCGCGGCGCCGGCTGGCTTTCGGCCGGCGCCGGGGCAGTAATGTCTCGACTTTCCCTCACCCCTACAGGTTGCTGGGGGGAAGCGCGGGTGCGCATCCTCCAATCATAGCGGCCCGGGAAGGACGCGGCGTGGTATTGGGTCGCACCGCACCGCTGTAAAAGGATGGAAGCACGACCGGGGGTGACTATCCCCCCCGGTTTGGGAGGTGTCCTCCGGACAGCGAAGGGGATTCCTGTGGAAGTCATACGCAAGTAGTTCCCGCGGGGCCCCCTGTCGAAGGGGCTGAGGACGGACCCACCAGAGGTTTTAATGGGTAGGACCCCCGCCGATTACTCGGCGGGGAAGGAGTCCTACATAACCCGTGGTCCCCCCCCGGGGATCACGGGTATACGTAAAGCATTTCCCCTGATTTAATTAAAAAAAAATGTTATGTATATTATAGAATTTCAATATTGGCAGTAAATTTCAGATTGCAGCCTATGCATGTACGTCATTGGTCGCAGTGGAAAAAGCGCTCAGTGAGCAATCAGCGATTATCGGTTCTTACTGTTAGATCTCTAAATCTAGACCAATTACATTGACGAATTGCTCAACAGTTGCACATTCGTCATTGAGCAATTCAACAATGTAATTCGTCTAGATTTAGGGATCTAACAGTAATGGCTCCTGCACACAGGATGCGGTAATGTTTGCCGCGCGGCGGAAGTTCGCGCGACAGCTAATCAATGTGCTGCTTTCCGTAATAACTTTCTAGTTCTTACGGAAAAACAACATATTGATTGGCTATCGCATGGACTTCCGCCGCGCGGCAAGTATTACCGCGTCCTGTGTGCAGGAGCCATAAGAACCAATAATCGCTGATTACTTACTGAGAGCTTTTTCCACTAAACGCATCCATTGGGCTGCATTCAGAAATCTTACTCGGTGAGTAGAGTAACATTTAATTAGCCAATCAGGGCAAAAAGAACTAAGATTTATTTATCATGATTGGTTTATTAAAGTAACTCTATCCATCGAGTTGGATTTCTGAACATAGCCTTGATTGTTACATAGGGTGTTTACGA